GAGCTCTGTCTGTGTATATGAGAGGTGCTCTGTGTGTGTGTGTGAGGGGTGCTGTGTTTGTGAGGGTTGTTCTGTGTGTGTGAGGGATGCTGTGTTTGTGTGTGTGAGGGGTACTCTGTCTGTCTGTGTGAGGGTTGCTGTGTGTGAGGGTTGCTGTGTGTGTGTGTGAGGGGTTCTCTTTGTGTGTGTGTGTGAGGGGTGCTGTGTTTGTGAGGGGTGCTCTGTGTGGCGTTCTGTATGTGTGAGGGGTGCTGTGTTTGCGTGTGTGAGGGGTGCTGTGTTTGTGTGTGTGAGAGATGCTCTGTGTGTGTGTGTGAGAGATGCTCTGTGTGTGTGTGTGTGTGTGTGAGGGGTGCTGTGTCTGTGTGTGTGTGAGGGGTGCCTTGTGTGTGTGTGAAGGGTGCTGTGTGTATGAGGAGTGCTGTGTGTGTGTGAGGGGTTCCGTGTGTGTGTGAGGGGTGCTGTGTTTGTGTGAGGGGTGTTGTGTGTGTGTGACAGGGGTGCTGTGTGTGTGAGAGGGGTGCTGTGTTTGTGTGTATGAGAGGGGTGCTGTGTGTGTATGTGAGGGGTGCTGTGTGACAGGGGTGCTGTGTGTGTGTGTGTGAGGGGTGCTCTGTTTGTGTGTGTGTGTGAGGGGTGTTCTGTGTGTTTGTAAGGGGTGCAGTGTGTGGGTGATGGGTATTGTGTATAGGTGATGGGTATTGTGTGTGTTTGTGGGGGGAGCCTATACATTGGGGGGAATAGGAGCAATTCAAATATGTTTTTTTATTACTATTTGTAATGGATCACCTGGCACCCCGACTGAGTACCTCCATTAAAGGATGCTCCTAGCGTTTCCTGAGGACTCCAAGCACTCTGGCAGACACCACAATCACCGAACCGGAGAAGCGTATACCTTCTCTCAAGCATGTAAATGCTATAAACAGCTGAATAGGCAAAAACCATATGGATGGGTTTAGACTCCTAGCAGTCAAACTGGAACAGCATACAATAAATCCTTCCCCAATAATGAGACGACACTTCACTTGGAGGGTTAAGCAGGAACTCCAGATTTATTCACACAACCTCCTTTTAAGACATTCTCCCATGCAAGGGAGGGATCCACAACAATTAGTACCCCAGCCAATAATGTACCAATTACCTCCCACACATCTCCTCCCCTTAGTGTGACACATAATCCCATTAGTACAGACACAAATTCCCTGGGTTACTGGATGAACCCCTAAACATAGGGTTACCCCTTTACATGTTACATCCCCTGGTAGCCCTGATCTGGGTGAGACACATATACAAAAATCACCCAGATTGGACCAGGGGTTCGGGAATTATGGAGGGTTAAAGTTTTGACCGACTGCATGGCAAAAGTATCCAAAAATAGTTCCATGTATTTTGTCCCTGCAGTCGGTCACAGAAAAGGGAATGAAAACACACGAATTGCCTGGGTTATAGAGCCTGGGGAGGGTTTAAACAAATTCCCTTGTTCGTGGGGTTCTTTCTACCGAACGGCGGGTCACTCGGTAGTTTCCACACAAATTCATGGAAGTCTGGAGGTCTCAGCGGTGTTTGCCTAGTCGAGTGTCCGATTTTAGTTCCAGACACTCGACGGCAAAACACAGCTGTTCGGGAGTTTAAGATGGCCGCCGCCACGTGTTCGTTTCCCGAATGGCGGCCACCCAGAGGACAAAACCACACATTACATCGATTGCCAATTACCTGTTTGCAACATTGTTGCAAACGGTAATTGGAGGCACACTTCTTCCTGGGTGGTCTGGTTGTTCGGTAGTTTCACTCAATATAATGAATGGAGTGATTCTACCGAACAATTAGGGGAATGCTGCATACACATATACAATTTAGCCGAACATACATAATATAAAAGACATCCTTACTGTAATCTGCTACCAAGTCTTAAAGAGGTATTGTTCCTAAAAGTCATAATATGTCCCCAGATGGCCCTTAAAGGCCCAGTAGCAGCAATATAAAATATCACATGCCCAAATATTGCATTAAAAGTACAAATTTACCAGGGGCCATAGTCAGCAGGTAGGAGGTGGGCAGCCAGGCATCTCCAAGGTCCAGTGGCGAGGCGGGTTCCGCCACACTATTAAAAAACAATTATTTTTTTTATATGTATAAAATAGGTTTATGTCCCCTCTCCTTACCTTTTCCTCTGGGAGGGGGAACAGTGCCCTGGTGATCCGGTGGCGATGAGCAGCACTCCTCTGGCTGCAGACAGAGTTCAGTCCTTCCGCGAGATCCTCGGAGAGTTGCTGTGGTAACCCACGGCAACACTCCGAATTGCCAAACCCGCGGGAGGATCTTTCCGCCTCCCAACTCCTCCTTACCTCCCTCTCCCCTGTAGGTTGACTATCAGTGCCTGTGGGCCGGTGAGGGAGATCTTTGATCTCCCCACCGGCCCATGAAGGCACACAGCAGGGCCGGTGTTAGGATAGCGTTGGCTCTGCATGGTCCGGCAGGGAAGATCCTGTGATCTCTTCTGTCGACCCATGGCCATGGCCTGAATTGTACCCCTTGGGGTACGCGTACCAAGGGTTGGGAACCCCTGATCTAGAACATCTCTCATTATTATGTTTTTCCTTCTACCATGTTCTTCCAACATGTCTACCTTGAAATTAAACACTCGATGTACAGCTTGTATTTGTTGAATGGCCCCCATGCACTGCGTGAGGACGTCCAGCATCAGTTAGGCGACCAAAAGTGTCCTAGCAAGCCGGAAGTGCCTCTAGTGACTGTCTGATTGGATAAGGGACAATATTAGAGGTAGGATTAGGGACAGAATTAGTGTAAAAGGTATAAATGTGTGGTATTATTTTACTTAAGTAGCAGAATACAAATATTGAGTGTTTGTAGTAGTTGGAAAAACGTGGTTTGTGAATTTCCCCAAAATAAAACCCCCACACAAAAATGAACTAATTTGAACTAGGTTTGTGATAAAATGGCTAAATGAGAAGTGTAAAAATGCTCTTAGTTACACTTACACTTTAGTTTACTTTCTACAAATATATAATTGTATGTAGCGATTTTGGATTCTGTGACTATTATTGAAGTTGTAATCCCAGCATGCCAAATTTTGCAAAGTTTTAGCTATAAAACCATAATTCACTCCTTGCTGTATTTGTTTTATAACTTCTAACAATTCATTAAAATGCCAAACATATTGGACATTTTAACAATCAGGACTAATTAGTGAATCTATTTTCAGTTAGTGTTCTTTATTTTAACTTGGTGTGTAGAAATTATTAAAGCGGCCGTACTTACGATTTCCCACATGCTTCCTCTTCTCTTTCTCCTTCCTTTTTTGTCTTTCTTTTTTTAATTTTTAAGTTATTTCTAACTAAAAACATAAGACCAAGTAGGGACTACTTTGTCTTATATATTTTCCTCCACCAAACTTTCTTAGACACTGGGCAGAGCTACAGTGTCAATCCCGACAGCCGTCCCCAGTGACAGCTGCAGAGAATTGACTCTGTCTATGGAGGATCTCGCGGGAGCTGAAGAGGATCCACCGGAGGAAGATGGCAGCATCCGTGAAGGGTGACAGATTCAGGTAAGTAGAACTCACCTTTTATTGCCTCCACCCCAGCCACCGGAATACCAGCAGTGATGACACCGTCGGGGGTGTTTACAAATTCTTCAAAAATTAAAAAGGAGAAAAAAACAAAACATTTTTCCTGCCATTTTTTTTTTTTTTTTTAGAATTTAGTCCGATTTAATATTTAATACCAATTTCTTTTTAGAATTTAGTCCTATTTAATATTTAATACTATCCTTTACCTTTTTGTGTCATTTTACCCCACTCCCTCTAGCATGTAAGCTCATTGAGCAGGGCCATCAACCCCTCTGTTCCTGCGTGTCCAACTTGTCTGGTTACAACTACATGTCTGTTCATCCACCCATTGTAAAGCACTGTGGAATTTGATGGCGCTATATAAATAACATAATAATAATAATAATAATAATAATTGTGTTATATATACATAAAGGGTATCAAAAGAAAGCATTAAAAAGGTATAATAGTTATGAGTGTACTTAAACAGAATGGGGGAAATTGTGGTAGAATGAACGCTTGGAAAAGTGCCAAAAAGGCCTTGGTCACAAACGCCTTGCTCATTAAGGGGGCAAGGGATGCATGTGGTCAGGGATTGTGCTAAGCTAGCTGCTACTAATGTGTCCCATGTAGTGGTTATGGAGCTAAGAGTGCCCTGATTTCTTTGCAGTAATTTGTCATATAGTTTTAGTGTGGACACAGAGCAGGGATCAGGGCCGGATTAAGAGTATTGGGCCTGGTGCTGACAATTATGATGTGCCTAATTACAGAATCTTATCAACAGAAAATACTAAAATAGTTATACCTCCCAAGCGTCATGTATCTGATGGAGGTGGTGCTGGAGGGGAACTCCCATTTTTCTATCAGAAAACACATACCCTATGCTAATCTCTCACTTTCATCTTTCAAGTAAATCCATACCCCCTAACAGCAGTGTCCGGTGAAGCAGGATTTCAGTGAACGGGGTAAAAGGGTGGGCCACTGATGTGAATCACGTAACCAGAACCACCCAAAGGGAAAAAACATGCCCAAAAAGGGGGCGTATCTGCACCAAGAATTAGATGGTCAGCCTGGCGTAAATGGATGTCGGGCTGCCTGCCAATCATGCAGGATGACCAACCAAGGGCATAGTATGCTATTAGCATCCTGAGCTTGTCATAAATGCGTCTAATATTGCGCTAGCTCTACGCTTTCTATGGACTGACTCCTAGACCTTGCTGGTCCACTCCTCTCCTAACGTTCTTACTAGCAGGCAGAAGTTCAGCCCCTATGTTTATCCAGCCCTGGCAGGAATACAGTAGCAGGCTGAGATCTTGATTTAAAGTTGGAGACAAGGCAGTAAGCATTTCTCCTTCAATGGAGAGGGCCATTCATAAAAGAGACAACATCTGAACTGAAAAATGACAATTATATAAAAAGCTGATCTTGAAATGAGGGAGACTATAGACACCGATGACCGTGTGAACAGCATGCAGGATAAAGACACATAATACCCTTGCTATGTGAATGAACAGCAGCGTGGATGATACAGTGATCTTGGGTCAGATAAAAATTGATGACTCTACATAGCATTGCAGACAGTGGAAAGGGCAGGGGAGGGCATAATTGTAATGACATTCATGATCAAGGGATGAGAAATATTCATTATCGCATAAAGTGCAGGCATGCTATGAGTTGAGAAACCTGAAAAAAAAGCTTAATAGAAAAATCAAGATGCCGTCTGATGTCTGATTTGAGTGTTGCAATTTCCTATCTGTTTTAATGTTAACATTAATGCACCACATTAGTCATACGCCCATGATTATGGAACTATAACTGGGTTATATAAAGAAAAAATTTAGAATCTGCATTTGGTGTTACATTTAGCCAAAGCAATGGGTGACATGCACAGCACCAACTAGAGTGCCAGATTGCAGCCACAACACTTTTCACAGCACCAGATTGCACCCACAGTACCAGATTTAACTTGCCACAACACCAGACTGCACAAAAAGCTACTGCCACAGCACGAGGTATCAGCATCAGCTACAGCACCAAAATGTGCCCACAGCACCAGATTAAATCCACAACATTTCCCACAGCACCTTATAATTGTCAGTAATGATAATGGGCCCTGGAGGGGGGACTCTTTAACAGCGGCCATCTTAGTATCCATTAAAAAGTTTCTGTTAGATCCAAAATGTGAATGGGCAGGTTTGACACAGCTGGTTTAGGATGGGAGCTAGAGGTGGGAGCAGATGGACACCTTGAGGAAACTGTTAGGCATCAAGTCTGCAATGTGCAAGAATGTGTCTTTCTTCATCAGCCGGCAATCGGGTCCGAAAACATCAAGGCATTGCAATGGAAACAATGATCGTTCTGCCTTGTGCCATATTTTGCAAAAATCCCAGGCGTGCAGAAGACAAAATAGTCCATGCTTTATATTACATTATCTTTTGATTGTGTTGTAGTTTCAGTGAAATTTTAAGCATTTATACCAGAGTTTTTCAGACAGATCGAGTGCATTAGTCAGTGAATTATACGTGAATTGAAAACCTTACAGGAAAATTTACAGACTTGTGTATTCGGTTTCAGACAAATTGCAATTCATCTGAATATAGGATGATCGGTTAAAATTCCACATCATGGAATGGAAACATTCTCCAATCACACTTTAGTTATAGATTGGTTGTTTTAGTCTAATGATTCAAAATTAGTTTTTGTATTCATTACAGGATGCCGTTTACTGAATAAAAGCCCTCTATCTAAAACTTAGAAGTAACAGATCTGCTTATAGTGAGCAGTGGCAGAGGAACACATTGCGAAATAAAATGTTATCCTCCGGCGTCAGGCACTGAAAGGATTAAACAATGTTTTTTATGTAAAATGCATATTCTAAAAATACAATGCAATTATTTTTATAAAGTTTTTTTTCCTGTAAAAAAAAGTTTCTGTTAGAAAGAGTCCACTCCAGCCTCATCAGAAACTACAATGGAGTCTAATTGAGATAGGGAGGGCCTCTCAAACAGCGTTTTACTCAGTGTCCATTAGAGAGGCTCTGTTAGAAAGAGTCCCCTCCAGGCCCCATTAGAGACTACAATGGTGTATAATGGGCCATAGGGGGGGTGGTCTCTATAACGCTCTGGTCCTCATTCATAATATAGTAATACAACATAGCTCTCTGATACCCAGCCCAAGGTGACTTCTTTCACCTTAAAGGACCACTATAGTCACCTAAATTACTTTAGCTAAATAAAGTAGTTTTAGTGTATAGATTATTCCCCTGCAATTTCACTGCTCAATTCACTGTCATTAAGGAGTTAAATCATTTTGTTTCTGTTTATGCAGCCCTAGCCACACCTCCCCTGGCTATGATTGACAGAGCCTGCATGAAAAAAAAACTGGTTTCACTTTCAAACAGATGTAATTTACCTTAAATAATTGTATCTCAATCTCTGAATTGAACTTTAATCACATACAGGAGGCTCTTGCAGGGTCTAGCAAGCTACTAACATAGCTGGGGATAAAAAATCTTAATTAAACAGAACTTGCAATAAAGAAAGCCTAAATAGGGCTCTCTTTACGTTTATGGAAGGCTGTGCAAGTCACATGCAGGGAGGTGTGACTAGGGTTCATAAACAAAGGGATTTAACTCCTAAATGGCAGAGGATTGAGCAGTGAGGCTGCAGAGGCATGTTCTATACACCAAAACTGCTTCATTAAGCTAAAGTTGTTCAGGTGACTATAGTGTCCCTTTAAATACTGTTGCTGGCTGCTGTGGCTGGCTGCTGTGGTGGGCTGTCAGGCTGGCTGTTGTGGCTGTCAGGTGTCGGTCTCTTGCGGCCATTGGAAATTTAAGTATGCCACACAGTCAGGGCCTCTGCAAGCATTTTTGACTACTAGCTGTAATCATATGTTTGTCACCTCCTTAGCCTAGAGCAGTGGTTCTTCATTCTCCACCAGCACCTCCATGTGTCTCATCCCCCCCCAACCCCTCCATGTGTCTTTTTCCCCCCAGTCCCTCCATGTTTCTCACCCCTCCTCCCCCACCCTGTGTCTCATTTCTCCCTCAGCCCCTCCATGTGTCTAATCCCCCATCCCCCAACCCTCCAGTGCCTGCTGACCTCCCAGGATGAGCGCTTAGAGGATCTTCTGTTTCTGACAGGATGTTCTCAGAGAGAGTACTTCCTGTCAGACGGGTAGAGGATACAGTAGATACAATACGCTGCATGCAGTGACTGGCAGGAACACTGTGCTGCACGCTCTCCTCCTGCCAGTCACTGGGAAGACATGCCGGCCCACCAGCACACAAATAGAGTGGATAGGTGACGTGCCCCGCTCCACCGACAGGCCCTGAGATTTTTTTTTAAAGGGCAAGTACAAAAATTCAGTGGGGTTGATTTCCCCCCTCTGCGAATGCTCATGTCTTAGTGTGTCTCTTTTCTCTTCCCCAGCCCCTCTGTGTGTTTCTTTCTCCCCTTTCCCAGCCCTTCTGTGTGTCTCAACCCCCATCCCTTTTGTGTATATTTTTCCCTTCCCCTGCTCCTCTGTGTGTCTCTTTCTTCCTCTGTGTGTCTCTTTCTGCCCCCTGCTCCTCTGTGTGTCTCTTTCTTCCTCTGTGTGTCTCTTTCTGCCCCCTGCTCCTCTGTGTGTCTCTTTTTACCTTCCATCCGCTTCGTGTGTCTCTTTTCATCTTCTACATCCTTTCTTTTGGTAGAGAATCTTCCGCGTGGCCATGCTACACGATGTGACTAGCAGGGAGAAGCAATGTGCGCTCCCCTCCTGCCACTTACCAGGACGTTGCACCCCCATGGCCGATGCGTCCTAATTTTGCCGCCTGTACCACCTTATGGTTATGGCGGCCCTGTAATCAAGGTATTTGGGGACAATTTAAAGTTTTTTTGTTCCATTACAGGTTATGTTAACTGCAGTGTTTCAGACTTCAGGGTTCAAATAACAGGGACACTGCACCCAGATCTGTTCATTGAGATGACATGGTCTGGGTGACTGTACGGTCCCTTTAAATAAGCATTTCCTACCAGCAGGGGGCAGCCTCGGGCAGAGACTGTGAGTGTTATGGGGGCGGAGCCGCGTTAAGCCCCGCCCCCCGCGCGCTTACGTCTCGTACGTAACAGGAAGGCCGGAGCGGTTGGTTTTTGCTGAGTGTCGGCCTCGCCGTGCTGGGAGTGTGAGCTGCGCGTGTTACCGGCCACAGCCGCAAAATGGCGTCCGTGACAGAGAGGAAGCGACTGAGCGAGCTGCGCGTTATCGACCTGAGGTCCGAGCTG